AAAAACTAGTTTGTCTGGGTGGGGGGGGTTTTAATTTTCTCAGTAACAAATATAAATGTGCACCATATTACTATAAACGCGCTCAGAGCAGTTTCGATTTCTGTATCGACATCTTCACATTGGCCCTGACGGACAAACTAGTTTATTAGCCACTGTGCCCTCACATTTGCAGTCATTGGAGCGTTGGGACCAATTCCTAACTCCTTTCTCTGAGTTTGAATCATCAAAAAATCAAAACTAGTTTTCTATATATATGTGCGCTCATATAGGTAAAAGTAAATCAATGCTCAAGAAGCCAAAGAAACCAAAATTAAAGAGCCAATTACTGACGGCGTATGTTAGACACAGCTGATCATGCCAACAAAGAGGAATTACCAAATAAGTAGATAGAGAAATCAGACGAAAACCATTTCTTTTGTTACATCTAAGCCGCCTCGTAATTGAATGAGATACGCAAGACATTTAAATAGTTAAACCATTAAACCTGGTCTTCGCATGCAGTTCTCATGCAAATGCCCATATAATTTACGGGTATAATTTACCCGGTTCGCTCTTATCTGAGTCACAATTAAAACTTAATATGACAGAATTGTTCGTGCTATTTTAAATTTCTTATAGATTTAAATTAGGTTTTTAAATTGTACTGAACAACGGTCAAGGGAACAATTTTTTTTATCAGGTGTTCGTGTTAAAATTCGAATATTTTAAGGCTTTGGCATTGGTTTTAAAATTTAAACTTATTTTATAGATGCCTTGCCAATGTTATTTTAAAGTGTACATTTTAGTTTCGTGCGAAAATAGGTAATCATTTGATGTCTAATCATATAAATGTTTCCTGTTTTTAATAATAGTATGTTATGAATCTAATATTGGCAATTTTTATAATATACAAATCAGTTTCAGATAAAAATTACAAATACAATTATTCTAGTTTAATTAATTAAAAGAGAATACTAAGAAAAATTAAATGAAAACGAGATCTTATTATTGCCAAATTTGTGACATTTCTAGTAGTCACCGATAGTTTATTAAGGAAAAGTATGTATACTGATTAACAGGGTTAATATTAATTATTAAAAAAAATCAATGACGCTACAATCTTTTTAGATGTCGGCCTCAGATTTGTGTATCTGTTTCATGACCATTTGGTAATCTAATAGGCAAGGGATCAGCCTTCTGTGCCTCACGCACGCCGTTGTCTTTTTGGGTCTAAGGCAAGCCGATCACGATGTTTTCCTTCACCGTTCGAGCGAATGTTAAATGCGCACATATAAAGAAAGTCCATTGATGCACAGCCGCCGATCGAACCTACGACCTCAGGGATGAGGCTCGCACGCTGAAGCCACTAGGCCAACACTGCTCTAAAAAATTAATTTACAAGCTTATTACAGTAAAGAAGGACTCTGTATTTTTACAAATAGAACTTTAGAATGTCACGGAACTTCACTTTTGAATAGCGATGTATATAATATCGTTGAATACGGGTCGAAAGCATGTTCAGCTATCATTAATCTCCCCACAGTATTGATCACGCCAACCCTTATAATGCACCTACAAATTAATGATTGTACACGAGTACCTTCTGTTTTTAATATGAAAATTACTCGTATTATACTCTTCACCGATCACGTATAAAAGTCACGCGACCATAAAGATACTTCAAAATTGCACATTCATAAATTTCCCGAACATAAAATGATCGTAACTTACTATATACGTCTTCAAAGCAACATATTTTGTTAGGACTAATACCTTCAGGAGCTTTCATCATCGGACGGCAAGGCAGAATACATATATACCATCCGTCACCTTTTCGTCCGTCGTTCCACAACCGACGAATTTCTACCGCGTCACCACCACTATCAGTGGAGCCAAGGTTCCTTTCCGGAACGTATTTCCGAACTCAATTCGACTTACGGTCCTACGGATTCGTCATGCTCACTTAAATGTCATGCTTGTGCGGTACCATGCGTCGGGGTGTGTGTCTCCCTGAACTATGGCGAAAACGTGGCCGATGGCTGGCCATGCGTCAAGCTAACGTGAACGGTGCTGCTTGTGGTGACTCTGTGGTCAATACTTGAATTCGTGTATGGGGTGATTTTGCTTATTTCGACTATGTGTTTGCGTGTTCATCCCACGAGAATGTAAGAGGAGGAACTAAGGAAAACAAACAAGGGTGCACCCGAAGCAAGCTGCGCATCACACACAAAGACAGCAGCGAAGGATAATTCACTACATACGCTTTTACCAACCGAAATACTTCGCGAAAGAAAAAATTCTTCCCAAGATTGGTACGCGAAGCCATTGATATCAAAAAACTTCCGCAATTTCAATAAGAAGACGGCCTAAAAAAGTCAAAACCTGGGGTCCAGTAATCCATCAAAATTAAAATCGTTAAGAGAAACCGTCCGCGAGAATAGACGGACACCGTGAGCCATTTTTGCCAAAACACTCCATCTTTTAGTGATACACAAGTCCGGATGCGTAATAAATACAGTATGAAGGCAACTTTCTCTACAGCTGTCGATACTTTTGACATCCAACATCTTTTGTCTTCAGTCACCGTGACCACGCACGACCTGTAAACCACGCGAAACGTCGGATAAATTTAAACATCGATGTTAAATAGTTGTAAATTTATCATAAGTACATAACTTCAAGTCCGTCGTTCCAAACTAGTTTTTTCTTTAAAGTGTAAGGTTCTGTCACTCAAAGACAATACTATGAGCATTTATATGTATTTCTTTACTGACGAGTGATAAAAAGCGAACACTATGTTAACTCTAGATTAAAGTATTTTTTACTTTTTTTTCAAGAATAGAGCGTTCCATTTATTAAAAGGCCGGCCGCGCGCTTGTGAACCTTCTGGCAGTCCGAGTGTCCATGGGCGGCGGTATCACTTAACATCAGGTGAGCCTCCTGCCCGTTTGCCTCCTGTAACATAAAAAATCCTTTGCCACCAGATTTTTTAGGATGAATCTGCTCTTAGTACCGACTCAAATTATTATGTGATGTTTTTATCAGTCATATACTATAAATAAAACTTAATGATCGATGAAAATGTAATGTTAACTAATGGCACACAGAAATCTTTATACTCGTAATGCAAGACGCGCTAAGTAACGGTCCGGTAATTAAAATAAATAATTGACTTGACTGAATTTCCTTTAACCCCTAGATGGGGGGCAGAGGGCGTCCAGTGAGTCTCCATGGCGTTTGGTCTTGAGCTTCGTATTTCAGTCGCTTTCGGCTCTCTTTGCCTCATCTGCAACTGTACGACGCCAGCTTTAAACGGCCAACGGTTAAAACCGAATTGCCTCTTAAAACATCTTTGTTATTCGCTACACTATTTTATATCAGAATACTAACAGAAATAAGCGAACATTAGAAAACAAGCCCTCGACTTATAGGTACACGGTATACTTGTATCCGTTCAATTAAGTTTTGTAAGGGGCTTAGGTTCGCAACGGAAGGGGAATTAGTACGCATCAGATATGGGTGAATATGTAGGCTATTGTAGTTTCTTTTCAAATGTAGAATACGTTTCCTGCTAATAAAATTCTTAAAAATATCTACATTTTTTGGAGTTTACTCCTTAAGAAACGATTTGGGTTATAAGGCCCGGTACGGAAATTTTATGAGGAGTAAAATCAAGTGTAACACGAAAAGTTGAGGCGTTATGTAGAAAGAGACAAATGGATTGAACGTGTAAAAGAATGAGATGGAATACATTACACAGAGTTTTCTATTTTGAATTCACGTTTTGACAGCCACGTTACAACATTGTCAGTGTTAACAGGTATAAAAAATAAAAGTAGATTGTCTAGCGTGCCATAGAGTTTTGTCAATAGTAATGGTCAGTGAAATTAAAACTAAAAAGATTGTTCATTCTTATTCTTCTCTTACTATAAAGGTAACTTTGGTCACAGAAAGAAAATCCTATTTGGGCATAGATGATGTAGGTACGTTTTATTACTACTACAAACATTTATATTATAAAAACATATATTCTTACCACCTTTAGTATGAAAATATGGTCGACAGCCACAGAACATTATCGCCATTTTATCGTTCGTAAGGAGTAAACTCCAATCGTGTGTCGTAGCCCACACACACACACTTTTTTTTTCAGAATGGCTGGCTGGCTTTAAAATGGCCCGCAATATGTAAAGCCTTTACATATTGCGGGTAACAGTGTAATGCGTTGTTAAACTGTTTAGCTCGATGGAGTAATACCGTATGTGAGTACTGACCTTAAGTGTAAAAGTTAAGCGAAAGACTTAGTGAGACTTTGCGTCTTGTTTTACCCCATACTCCCATGTTTTACCAATACCTCTTTGAATCTAATGGAGCAATAATAATAATGCACGGAGATATTATAAAGACCACCAATGTTGATAATTATTAAAGGTGGTGTCTGGTCGTACTTGAATTCGTGTATGCGGTGATGTTAGTTATTTCGACTATGAATTTTCGTGTTGTTTCCACGAGAATGTAAGCGCGTGCTCCTATTTCACCATGCCTCCTGCTGATAGAGGACAAATCTTTGTTTTTAATTTGAACATGGTGTAATGGTTGCTTACAAACGTTGTGTAAAACAAAAAACTTGGCGATTAAAAAGAGTGCTTTGCCTTGCTTTGAGAACTGGCAGTAAATTTAAAATTAGAAGCATACGTATATAATTATTGTATATTTCTTTTTTGACGTTCATAAGTGTACATTGGGTTACCTACATTAATAATATTTTAGAGAAGGGAATGTTCTACTACCTATAATTTGAGTTACGTCAGTTGGCAAAATCGGTAGATATATTAGAAGTCGTTATTCACTCCATATATTTTGAAAATTTTATAATCATTTTAAAAATGTTATTAAAGTGATAAGAGACATGAACAACTATTAAATTAAATTTAAAAGTTTTACGTCAACCGTAGTCACGAATATAGAAAGCATTTAATCATTCAGAATAATAGTTGATTCGTGCATATTGTTCAGTGATAATGTTGAAATTGCTTGTAATTGCTGTTGCTATTGAATGTGTAATTGTTGTGTCAGGATCAGGTAACGAAAATACTCCGCTATGTTAAATTAACTAGCATGTGTAGGTTATTTAACGCGACAACAAACAATATACCGGGTGGAGTTTAAATATAAGTTTTAATGAAGGAGGGACACGAAATTATCAAATCAATTTCCTTTTTTTTTAAATAAATAATAAAGGGGTAAACGAGCCCATGGGACGCCCAAAAACGGCAGTCATCGCAGCTTTGAGGGAGGGGTAAACTCTAACTGAATAATTGGAGGTCATATCTCTCAGAAAACCCATACCGGGAGTCGATTCCACAGTTCGCAAAAGAAAGTGGTTTGTGAAACGGACTGTGGAAGACTTCTAGACATCAAGGTGATGTTGATGAAATTTTGAATTAATACGGCTGGTACGGTGTTGAAACGAGGCAGGAGGGATCAACCCAAACAATTCTTCTGAACACTCACCATAGTACACTTTGTAGAAAACGCAAAGAGACGCAATGTCTCTGCGTAGAAAGATCGAATCAAGCCGATCCGTAGTACATTGCAGATTGACAATTCGACAAGCCCTTCGCTGAATGTGGTCAAAATAAAGAAGCTGGTATTTGGCAGCCCCATCCATTAAATTTTTTCCTTACGATTGAAAAGAAAAAATCTTCATTCAAAATACTCCGTACCCGGGAATCGAACCAAATAAAACTCAATATAATACCTTTTTATAGAATTAATTCCTGGTTTGAGAATCAAATCATCGATGCGATTTAGAAATATTGTACTTACTCTTATTTTTGTTTCTTTACGAATCAATTTTACACGAAGTTGCATAATTAATATTTTAATATCTGCATCTAATATTTTTATTTACGATATTCACAACTACCTTCAATTTCCTCACTAAGTAAATGTAATTCTTTGAGAAAAACTATCTTTAAACCGAACCTCTCTAAAAGTCATGGTGAATTAAATATAATTTGTTTCACGAACACTAAGTTAATTTAATTACAAAATGATTGACTATATTTGGATGATTTTTCACAGAGCGGTGCAATGGACGTCATGAATACTACGAAAAATGCATTAAGACATGCGATCCTCAAACTTGTGAAAGTGCTGGGGAAACATTTCACTGTCCAATGAGATCCAAATGTAAAGGTGGCTGCAGGTGTAAGCGGGGATATTTGCGGAACGAAAATAAAGATTGTATACCTAGTGATCGATGCGGTAAATTTCTTTGATGTTTAATTTTAATAATATAATACGCAGAGACATTGCGTCTCTTTGCGTTTTTTACAAAGTTTACTACGGAGTGTTCGGAAGAATTGTTTGGGTTGATCCCTCCTGCCTCTTTTCAACACCGTACGAGCCATACGACCTCTAAATTTCACCAACATCATCTTGATGGTTGGAGGTCTTCCACAGTCCGTTTAACAAGGCATTTTCTTTTGCGAACTAGCGAACTGTGGAATCGACTCCCGGGGGGGGTCTTGAAATCCAGACTATGTGTATGTTAATAATATAATAAATTTTGAGCTACAAAATTACTTTGGTACAAACATTATACACAACTATAAGATTTTTTTAATCAAGCAAATCAAAAATGGGGCCATTCACTAGCAACACTGATGTTTTGTGAGCCCATACATATATTTTTTTATTTGTACCAGAAAACTAGATCCTATACATAAATAAAGACATACATCTAAAATTGGGCCGTCCCTATTTGAACACTACCAGGGAAATTAAATAACAATACAGAAAATAATTAACAAAAACGATAATAAAAACAGAAGTAAATTAAACTACATTGCAATGACAGAAAATATGGAGATTGGATACACACATTACATTAATAATTTAACATAAGTTTTTTAACTTTACTGTCAAAATGTTTCGTTTAACAATCCAAGTACACAATTAAGTAAAATTGTTTCAATGGTCATCTTAAAAGAGTGTATAAGCTCCATAACCTTTAAATATTACATACATTCTGTATCGATTTGGATAATAATTTTTGTACTTAAACAATTAAACGTATAATTATTTTATAGATGATGAAAATTACGATATATCTTCGACATACTATACACCAACATCAAAGCATACAGTCGAAAAGTCTGGCAAAGAAAGTCACAAGCATAGTAAGGACAGTAGCAGTTTTTTGAGTGGTTAGTAATAATTAATTAAAACGCGCCTCTATGGTGATTATATCGATCCTCCTAAGTATACTGAGTCAACTGACATTTTAGTAATTTTATAGGAGAGCCATTTTAAGGCAAATTGTTTATATTTTAATGAAATCAAACTAATTCGGAATAAATTAAATGTTTTTTCAATAAAGATTGAAAGCTCTTCCTTTGGTATAACATGATATTGCTGAATTTTGTTTTTAAATGATATTTTATGTACATGACTATTTAAGGGCGGGACTGAATAGTAAAATGGTTTAACTACCAGTTATATTCATGTAGTTGTACATGAAAATCCATGGCTTACTCGAAAATATTACGAAATATGATAATCATTGTATTAATATCATACTACTTTTGGGTTATTTTCGATTTTTTTGTCCTACTTAATAATAAAATGTTGAATTACATATTGACTCATTATACTAGGAAAGTACTTACCTATGTTAGTAGTTAAAACCTCAACGTATATGATAATATATATATGTAAAATGAGGCTTTTTAATTACTCATTTTAGGTATTTCGAATACCTCACGAAATTAATAAAGGTTAGGAAGATTAGTCTCATTAACAAAACAACACATTCAAAAGAATCACAAGTATTTTCTTTATACTAGTAGGACCCTTTTTGTAGTACTATGTAGTATCATTAAGTTTTTTGAAAAGTAACAAACATCAATAAAAATAATAGAACTAAAAATGGTAACTTACTTAAACAATATTAATAAAAATAATAAATATGAATAATATAAATATCTAAAAATCTAGGAAATTCTAACGATCAAAAAATTGCTATAAGGTTTGACAAAATAAATAAAAATAATTAAAGTTGAACGAATCAAAATCAGTCTGAACACTACATCTTCATTGAGTTATTTAGATAGATAGATAATCCATTATTAGTATTTATTGTTTATAAGTTTTGACTTTGATTTGAATCCTTATTAAATTGAGACACTTCAATAACTGGTATGTACAAAGCTGTAATATTAGGCATATGTTTTTATTTTGTCTTCAATTAAGGAATGCTTATTTGTGAATAACCCACTATTAGAAAGAATGGTAATAGATAACTAATTTAAACTATTTAACATATACATTAAGAAATAAATCCTATTCTATTTTGCCTCCAAGTTGTTGATAAAACCGGTAATTTGACACCTTACCACGTATCTTCTATAAACTTAAAATAAGCTGAATTTAATTGACCTCTCTTTGCTGTCTGTTGATACCATCAAAAGCAATCACCTTGGGAATCCAGAATGAATATCGTGAAATTATAAAATAATGTTTTTTAAATAAAAGTACTCACGCTCCTAGGTAATAGTAATACATTAAAACACTTTTGAAGATAGATCTATGTAAGGATTTCCTTATTTGTAAGCTGATTTTTTATTTTTTTTCATTTTCTAGCTTTCTCTCTTTTTTTAAAGTCTCAGCTATGTCTGTAGAACTTGTTGTATGTCATAAATGTGACATTGTTCACAAAAATCTTTTTGGGTTTATAAAACCTATATATAGATATCTCGAATGTCAGATCCAAAACCATTCGATTCAGAAAGTTTTGGGAAGGATAAAAAGCCCTCCAGATAATTTTTACTGATTTTTGGGAGTGTAATGTGACTTAAGGAGAAAATGTTCAACGTGATCATAAACTGTGCTTATGATGGAATATTCATCCAAAGACCATGATTGATTAATAAATCATTACCTTTATCGGACTTTTCTAAATCTGTACAAGCAAAATTAAAAATAATAGAAATTCTCAAGAACTTAGTTTTGCAAATAGATATTTTTTCGACAATATTTTTCTTTTTTTCCAGCTTTTAAGCATATCTTGAAAACCCATTGTTTGAGTGGTCAATAATCCAAAACATTCTGTTAATCTACTATTGTCCAAATTGAGGGGCAAGAAGTTTTCATAATTCTGTAGATGTACTTTTTTTACTACATATTCCAATCCTCTATTAAGCTTAATTTCTTTTTACATTTTTTAGAAAACTCTTAGCCTTTCTTTATCTTTTTCGAATGGAAAGCCCTTTTGGATTGAGGTAGTATGTGATATATAATGTGAAATAAAGGAGATATCAAAAGAAAAGGCGATGGACTGGAGTAATATCCAATAATTTCAATACCATCTGAGGGCGAATACTGAGTTTCTTATAGATTGGATGATTAGTTATCAACATTCGATATAAGGCGAAGAGAAAGAATATAATCTAGGAATAATATGTAAGGATAGAAGGGATATATTCCTGTATCATTCTAATCAATATCATCAAGTATTAAAGTCCTCTTCCTAAAATTGATCGTGGAATGGAACTCTAAAACAAACAACAATAAAAACGAAGAATCAATTTAATTAACTGCCAATATAAGTATAAATTAAAAAAATATATTATACCACAATTAAAACAAATATATCAAATTAATTAGTAATATTATTCCAGATAATAAGTGTTTTTATTTTGTTGTTGTAAACAGGTGTAAATAAGTTGTATAGTATAGACGTATAGATGTAACAATTATCAAACAAAATGGCAAAATCAACTATATTAAATAAAAAATAATATGTATACATATTATCCTGTTTCGCAAAGAATATTACCATTGGATATTGTATTGTAATTACTTATATTGAGAAAATAAAAAAATGCTGATTATAATAATAATAACTTTATATTTCCTGGAACTGATAAATATTGATCAGTATAAATAACTATTGAAATTTTAGTATAGTGAAATATCTGTAATTAGTCTTTTAAAAAAAAAATAACATAACATTAAGATTTTATTTTATTTTGTAAAAAATAAATTTGTTACTAAATTGATTATATAAGGTTTCAATTTACAACAAAACCATAGTAATTTTTATTCAGTCAAAGGTAGGTAGATTCATATTTACATGCCTACCCTCACTTTATAGCTACTAAGGCATCGCGTTTATTGCGCTCCGCTAATAGTCTTAATTAGACAGTCCTGTGAAAAGGTCGTCTTCTAGATTTTTTGAGCGCTTTAAACAACCTTTGTCAGTGGTTTTTATGATTCGTGTATCATCCAAGAGAACTGGAGCACAGCGAACAGTGAAAGTTCTTACCAGTGCCTAGCAGTAATGGGAAATGGAAATCCATTATTATTATTTTATTACCGAATTTCTTCAAATGTAATATGTAGTCCAGTTAGTAATAAAATCTACTAAGAAAAGTGGTTAAAGAGATAAATTCAAGGATTTGTTTTTCCAGTGGTCACTTTTTATACTTTTTTTTTTTTTCAGAAAATGATTCAAGTTTAAGTACTATTAGTCAAACCCCACCAGCGAGGCGTAAGTATAAATTTATTATTACACGTTTCTTCGATTTACAATTTATTATCAAATTCTTGAACGTTAAAGATATAAAATTAAAATAGGTTTAGGCAACATTTTACCTGAGTAGATTACGCCATTAAAACGGTGATCTATCGTTTATTTATAGTATTAAGTTAATATTTAAAAAAAAATTAAAGCCATTGTGTTTAATGGTTAAGCGTGCTAGCCTGAGCTCGTTCAAACCTTTTTACCTTAACATTTGAGTCTAATTGCTTGCACGATGAAGACAAACATGACGAGAACATCGGCAGGTATTACTCTAAAGGCCTTTGACGGAAAAACGCTGAAACAAATGAATTGTGAAACTAAGTCTAATTCAAATGTAATATTATGATGCTTCAAAAAATCCAGGGTGGTGATAATAAAAAAAAGTGCATGCGTACAAAATACACATGTCGGTAGTGAAACTTCTTTGGCAAACTAATTTTTAACTCTAGTTCATATTTATACAAATCTATAACTTTACATTTCCGAGACTTAGAGGGAGGGAAAAAGGAAGATATATTAGGAATTTGTGTCGAAAGTGTCGAAAAACCTACAAATTATAAATTTATTTCTTCGATAATAAAACACGTGGCATTTTAATTTACAATTCGTCATTTGAGATATCAATAAATTATTTTGCATAAAATATAAAATACTAATATTTCATAAATTCTCTTAACAAAATATTAATTTTAAAAATAGAATTTCTATAAGGTAATTCGCCCTTGTCACCCTCTCTCAATCGCTCTTTCCATTTTCTTCGACAAAAACGCTGCAAATCTTCGTGACGTTCCGTAAAATTTTTACCCCCATGCGCCTACAGAAGTTTCACTTCAATAAAAGACGAATTGATTATGATTGGTTGGCAACAGCATGTCTAGTTCCAGACACGCGAAAATTATACGTAATGATATTACGTCCGTCTGTCGAATCACAATCGAAATGGTTTTAGACACATACTGCCGCCGCCACGAAGTATGGTCAGAATGTACGAACGGTGGGTGCGGCAGGCGCACTTGCTCGGATTTGGCATCACCGGTTATTTGCATTGACCCAGCCAGGGGTTACTGCCGATCTGGATGCGTTTGTAAAGAAAACTATCTTCGGAATCGACATGGAGTTTGTGTGCCGATTTCTAAGTGTCCTACACGTAAGTGTTTTTAATTTTCAACCGGACATTGTTACTATGGTTACCATATCTTTATATACGTTATATATATAGTATAAAGTGTTACTGTCTTAATTACTTAATATAATAAGTCGCATCTCAGTGATTCGCTTTAATTCCATCTATACAAAGTAATTGCTTGTTTTTTTCAGCCCAATGCCAAGAGAACGAGGTATATCTTCGAAATAGGGAGACGGTGAATCATCCACAATCGTGCTGGCAGTACTTATATGCTAATCTTGACGATTTGGTCGAGACACAAGGACCAGAATGCATTTGCAGGAAAAACTATGCCAGGAACAATGACGGGCAATGCATTCATATAAGCAACTGTTTTCACAACATACGAAGAAAAAGATCAAGTACGCAATAATTCGCATGTATATGTACGTTGTTGCATTCAATATTTATATTATATGTCATAAATAGCCCAGCCGCGACTGAACAGACTATCTTTCTATGTGCGCATTTAATAAACATTTGCTTGAACGGTGAAGGAAAACATCGTGAGGAAACCGGCTTGCCTTAGACCCAAAAAGTCGACGGCGTATACGGGAGGCTAATTTCATACATGCCTAAAGGATTGACCAATAATCATGAAACAGATACAGAAATCTGACACCCAGACCTAAAAAGGTTGTAGCGTCACTGATTTATTTACTGCGCTGTTTAAACGCGATAAAGTCAAAAACTACCGAACGTACAAGGATGGTTTAGGTCTATAATTTATGGTTTTATGTTAATTGAAATGTAACCAGTATTGAAGAGTTAACCGTTGTTGCAAAATATATGTAAATATTGCAGATTGATGTACAGATTGAAATATACCTTTCTCAACTTTTAAATAACTTTTATAATAAGATTAGCTGCCCCCGCGAACTTCGTATCTCCTTAATGCCTAGCCTATCTTTTAGTACATACCAACATGGAACATTTTGCTATGCTACCCCAGAGACTGTTCGGTTTTCCGGAATGAAAACTTTTTAAGTTTTTCTGTGATTTTTCTTTATATAAACCTCAGAGTTCAAGTTAAATTGCTAGAGATCGTAGAGGGTAGATGAAAATTAAGGGTTGTAGGTATTTATGTGTGATGTATCATAATAAATAAAAACCTAAAAAGATTGTGGTGGACACCCCTTATAACTTAGGGGTTTGAAAAATAGATAGTAGCCGATTCTCAGACTTACTGATTTAAAAAAAATCATAAGAATCGGTCGAGCGGTTCCGCGGAGAATGAGAATGAACATTGTAATACGAGAATTTTATAAATATAGAGATATTTTTATTAATATAAGAGCCCAACTAGACGTAACTTTTATAGGTCAAAAATACCTATTCGTAAACAAAAACATGGTCATAGTAACAGATTCCTAAAGGCAAGGTCAAGTACAATACCATTGGTTCTTATTAACGTAATGGAAGTTGTTTAATCCATAAAATCACTATAAAAAGTAACTAATACGCCGTGCAAAAAATTCCCATGAATTATCATTATGATCTAGCAGAATTAGAAATATGGTATGATAAAATAGTGGTATTTTTTTCAGTTTGCGGGAATTATGAGGAGTTCGTACTGAATACAGCTGGCATTTCACGGCCTCAAAATTGCTGGAGATATATTTTAGGTTTTCCAAAAAGTACAGAACTCTTATTGAAACCAGGTTGTGTGTGTATTGAAAACTACGTAAGAAATAGCACGGGTTCATGTATACCTTCTACAGAATGTGGTGAACTCATGTTAACGGGCTGACCTTTAATCAAAAAACATTTAATGTCAAAAAATTATATTAACACATGTACCTACACAATAAAGTTTGATATGTTCAATTTGTCTTTCATTTATTAATTCTTACAATACAAATATATATTTACTTACGATGAGTTATTAGCATATGTTTTAGATTGTTTAAACAATTTTTTTATTTGCTCTATCGATTCGTTTGACTCTTCTTGTTAAAAACAGAAACGTTTTTACGGGAGTACATCACACCGTTATTCTCTTATGTCATTCTGCCGCGCTCAATCATGAAATGTATATTCTATGCGACTTCTTAAATACAAAGAGTCCCCTTTTGTGTGTGCTTCGATATTGCGGGCTAATCGTTTGTGAGGAAGTTGCATGGATCCGGTTAGCTCTGCGCCTTCTTAAGTTCTCGTGTGTCACACTTGTATATTGTTAAATATGTATCAAAATAATGATTCTGTTCTACTAGCGACATCTAGTTGTATGTAAAGAAAGGACTGCTTTGTGGGTCTATGTATGATTGAATTAAACTAGTCTGCTAAGTGCCAACGTCAACCATTGTTTCATTATTATATATATCCTTTACATAACATATTTCAAGTATCTGAGTGTCTTTATGATGTTTGAGAGCAAAAAAAAAGGTTTGTGGTATTTAAAATGGTACTGGGACAAATACTGGTACTATAGGGTGTCTCAGTAAGAGTGCACTTTTTAATTTTTAAATAAAGACAAGTATTTTATGACATACTTCTGATATTTTTATTGTATTGTAAAGAAGACATGTTCCGATTAAGTATGGAATAAAATATCCGGCAAATGACCTCCACGGCTCCGACGGCAGGCCATTACACTTTTCATGAAATTTTCCATGATTTTTGCACAGAGATGTGGCTGTACACCACCGATGACGCGTTGGATTTCCGATTGGAGCTAAGGAATGGTTTCGGGTTTATTCGCAAATAACTCGAGATTTCACAAAACCCCAAAGAAAAAATCGCACGGCGTTAAATTGCACGATCTTGGTGGCTAGTTGACATCAAAATTTCGTGAGATAATTTGTTCTGTTCATCGGAGAAAAAGACTTTTTTCGAAAAATTGGCATCGACTTCCCTTTGCTCCATTACTCATTGAGCAAATTGCTGGTGCTTTCCTTGGTCTGCTGGTTTGAGCTCTTGAGTTAACTGAATCTTGTACCGTGTACGCATGAAGGTGGAGGTCTTTAGTCAAAATTTGCTGCGTCGAATTGATGTTTTTGGGTATTCGGCGACACTCTCGTTTACAGCAGCAATGTTTTCAAGGGACCGACCGGTATGTTGACGCAAAGGATTCTTATTATCCATAATTGACCCAGTTTCTTAAAAATTTTTGACCACTCTTCGATTGGTTGACACATTAGGTGCACTTTCTCGGCTGAAAATTTGGTGAAGTTTGCGAGCGTTTTCAGCGTTACTTTTGTGATGAGTTTTCACAATTATAACGAGTTGTTCTTTCAAAAAGTGCTCCATTTTTAATAATCGGAATAAACAGAGGTGACACCTGTCAAATTTCAGACTTGCCACTTGCAGGAAAACAAAAATATTACAATTTTAAAAAGTGCACTCTTACTGAGACACCCTATATATGTGAATTTGTATGACAAAATATCAATCACCTTAAAAGTAGGACAATAGAGCTTTATTTCGGGGACTGTTTTTACTAAACCTAGACTTGCCGGTCTAAGACGGTCGCACATTCTCGGAAAGTCATTATTTTTTGTTTCAAATAAAACTTAGAACTCAGTGTAAATACGACACACGATTTACGATAGGTAAACTGGAAAAACCTGTTTTAAATGACTTCAAATACGTTATAAGTTGATATGGTAAAATTGGGGAATAACCGAAATAATAAAACAATATACAGACAAACAGGTATTGTTGTGTGTTTAGATCGAACTATATCATATAAATACCGAAAATTTTAATTATTATAACAGTCAACAGCACTATGTTGATCATACGTAATATAGTAATATTGGTTTGTGTTACTTCGGTAATATGTAGTGGTATGTATACTGTTCATTATTTGATTTCTTTTTTGCTTAAATAAGGTTCAAAGGACGAAGCCCTAAGTACGCCTAATTTTTTTAAGATTTTGTCTGTGAATTTCTTGTTAAATGTTAACTTGATTAATACAATTTCTAAAGCAGTTAGTGCTTATCTGATACCTAATCCAAGTTTAGAATAATATTACTTGTAAAACCTAAAATTTAAAGTGTAATATTTTTATTTTTTTAAATTTTTTGTTACATATACAGTAGATAAACCATAACCATTTGTTTTTATATAAAATACCTTTTATAAATATATTACAATAATAAACATATGGACTTACGGTTGTCTGCTTAAATAAATAATGTATTATTATAATTTACTATTAAATGTTTGTATTTTAGATATAGCTACATCATATTCCGATAGTCAATCATCAGCGATATCTTCATCAACCTCATTTTCATCAGCACATGGACCAAAGTGCAACCATGGAGGTAAAATATAAGATATCAATTGCAATACTAAGTAATTGATTTATAGAAATGTATTAAACAATTAAAAACATATGCTATATTAACTGAAATAATATTTAAATAATAGTTGTCAGATTTCTGCCAGCATTTGGCTTGTAGGTAATCTTCTCTTCTAAATATACAACCTCCTTGGTAGGTATAAAATCAAAGAGGTAACAGCTATGATCCATAACATAGTAAGATATACATTGCTCCATAACTCACGCACACGATCAAACCACTAAACCGATTTTGATTAATAGGCAGAATTATACAAATGTTGGCCCTGTCTACCCATTCTTCCATTACATATATATAAGTAGTATAATAACTAACCGTTTTAAATTTTGTAGCACCCTTACCGTCCTTAGATATGTAACTATTAATCCATAATTAATAAACGACTCTGGGTCGGCAGTACATGTCAAACACTATGATGGCTTTAATCATGACTTATGATTCAGACGCGATTCAACCGATCAATATTTGTGCTATCACAAATGTGTACTTGCAGTTACTACTCAACACTTGAGTATTCGAATCTAATACTTAAGGAGAAATGTTACAATCAGACCAAAACTTGTACGTTTAAACTTCGCTACACATGCGCATACGCAGGTTTCCGTGATGTTTACAATGCACGTGTATGTTAGATACTTTCCTAAAGAAAAGTTGTAGCCCATTGCACTTATCATAGATATCAATTATATGATATAAACCAACTCTTAGATTTTTTCCAGACCTGGATTAATTCTTACCAGTTTCACGCGAGATTTTTGATAAAAACTAAATTGCCTCTGAAATTTCTTGCTCTGTGTTATACCATCACCTTATTTCTATAATAGGCTATAGAATGAATATAAAAATTCCAGCAGTGCAAAGTCGGGGAGACCGCTAGAATAACATCGAATCAATAAAATAAATAAAAATAAAATAAGTTTATTAAGGTCTTATAAACATAAGAAACAGGTATCACTTATTCCACGTCATTAAATTTGAATCTGTAGACATTTCTACTCATCGGCAAAGAAGACGGCTTTTTCTGGCTCTCTGAGAAAAAGCCGGCGTAAAAAACTCACGGTACTCTTTTAAAATAGCAAGTCATCAAACAACACTTATTATAAAACAAATATCGCAAATTAATTAGAAGTAGCCTGTCTAGCACTAGTCCCAGGCCCTTTTATGAACTAGATAATCGTTAACTTTATAGTAAGCCTTTTTACACAGCTTTTCTTTAATACATTTCTAAAATTTAGTAAAAGGCAGAGATAAAGGAGCCTCTGGGATTTTAAAAAAGAAGAGAAACCCTTTTCCCAAAAAAGAATTACTAACTTATTATTTTAGGTCATCCAAAATGCTGTGGACCTAACGAAGTAGTTGACGATTGTGTCAATGGTGGATGTCGAAGGCGTAATTGCTCAGACCTTGCCGAACCAATAAAATGCATTGATCCTATACATTGTATTAGAGGCTGTCGGTGTAGAGACGGATATTTACGTGATAAGGACGGAGGGTGTGTACCGTTAACTAGCTGTCCAATACGTGAGTATTTAAGTATTTACATACTATATAGTAATTTATACTCGTCATTCATATTCACTCTTTTTACTTAATGGAGACCTTTCGCCGTGTCGTTTTAGAAACCTTGCTGTGTTAATTGTTCGATATTAGTGATTATGTATTTACATAGTATATTCGCGGATGCTTGGCGAACCCATGCGACTTCTTCAATACAAAGAGTAAGTAAGTTGTGTGCTGCGATAGTGCGGGCTAGTCGATTGTGAGGAAGTTGCATGTATATGGTGTGGACTGCGTCTTCTTAAGTGCTCATGTTATTTTCACATGTGTATATCCTTTCTATAACATATTTTCAAAAGAATTGTCCTGATTTTTACATGTGTGATGTTTGAGAGCAAAAATAAAATATCACAGTTGCCAGTTCCAGAAATGCCCAACTTACGGCAACGTTTAATGATTTTATATATATCATAGTTGAGTCGAATTGGGTAAAAATGGTCATTGGATACAATTTTTTAGCTGTTATAGTAATCACATGACAGACAGGCGTTCGAGGATACAATTGCCGTAGCTATTATTTTAATAAATATAATTCAAGCATATTTGATATGATATTTATGTAAAGTTTAATATACAAAAGCTGAATTTATAGAAACGTTTCAAAGTAATCTGGCAATATAAACACAAAATTAATTTGTACTGCAATTATTACTGTATTAATTTTACAGCGAATTGCAATGAAGGTGAAATTTTCGATTTTTGCCCTGGTTATTGTCAGCCTGAATGCGGTGTTGACCAAACCCTTATCTTATGTAAACCCTCGCCACAACCTGGTGACCCAGACTGTAATCCAGCTTGTCGGTGTGCTGACCACTTATATAGAACGGCAGAAGGCGCCTGTGTGCCAAAGGAGCATTGCCGTAAGTACCTATTTAATGCTCATAAATAGCTTTAAAATTAAATCAAAATATGATCATAAAGGTAACATTGTATAGTAAAACAGAATCTACCCCAGGGGGTACCACACGCGCTCGCGGTGGAGAATCCCCCTCTGGGCGTCCACCACCGGGACACTCAGCACCCGGTGGTGGACGCACAGGCTGCCCTTTGTATTCTGGGGGGGCAATTCTGCGCTCTATAAAAATAGTAATCGTCCTCGGGGCAAACGGAGCAATTATACAAAGGCACCCCCGTCCACACTCGCCGTGGACTTCACAAATGTTAGGGGGCTTAATTCTAACATCAACGCTGTCCACTATCATCTAGAGACTGCGATGCCGGCCTTGCTCTTTCTTACCGAGACTCAGATATCCTCCCCGGCTGATACTTCCCACCTATCCTACCCGGGGTACAAATTGGAACATTCATTTGTGCCGCGGGCTGGAGTTTGCGTGTACGTCAGAGAGGATATCTGTTCTCGTCGCCTCGGGACGTTTGAAGGAAGGGACCTATCTAACCTCTGGCTGCGCGTAGACTGCGATGACCATCCGCGATTCTACGCATGCCTGTATAGGTCCCATAGCGGAAATACCGAAACTGACCGACTCATTGAGCACATCCAAATGGCTACAGATTCCCTGCTCGAAAGGGTTCCTACCGCTGAAATCGTGATACTTGGCGATTTTAACGCCCACCATGCCGATTGGCTCGGCTCTGAAACCACCGATCACGCGGGAAGATCCTTTCACGACTTTGCTTTAGCCTACGACCTGACACAAATGGTCCCTGCGATTACGCGAATACCAGATGTGGATGGTCATAAACCCTCTTTGTTGGACCTTCTGCTGACTTCTCATCCGGAGAACTATCAAGTCTCTGTTGACCCGCCATTGGGTTCATCAGATCATTGTGTGGTCCGGAGTACTGTGCCATCTACGCGCCCTTCACGGCCCCGCTTTATGGGTTGTCGCCGTATTTGGCACTATAAGTCAGCAGATTGGGACGGGATGCGGTCTTTCTTTGCGTCCTACCCTTGGGGGCCTATGTGCTTTTCGCCGGAAGCTCCAGATTCCGTCGCCGCCTCTGTCGCCGAAGTGGTTCTGCAGGGCATGGAACTCTTTATTCCATTTTCTGCGGTGCCGATCGGTGGCAAGTCTCAGCCCTGGTTTAAACGTTCTTGCAAGGCGGCCTCGCGTCGAAAGCGAGAATGCTTTAAGGCATGGGCGGAAGCGGCGAAATCTCGTGATGCCAATACCAGCGAACTTAAAAAAGCATATAACTCAGCCTCCAGGTCCTTCAAACGGGAAATCACTAAGGCAAAGTTAGAGCACATTGCCAGATTTGGCGAGAGATTGGCCCAACTCCCATCAGGGACTCGAGCCTTCTGGTCTCTCGCCAAAGCTGTCCAAGGGAATTTTTGTCAGCCCGCCATTCCGCCACTGCACAGGGAGGATGACTCTCTGGCCCACACTGCGAAGGAGAAGGCTGACCTTTTGGGCTGTCTCTTCGCGTCTAACTCGACTTTGGATGACCGAGGGAGATCACCACCGACCATTTCGCGGTGTGATTCTTCGATGCCGGAAATCACATTCCGGCAACGTGCTGTCCGCAAAGCACTATCTTCCTTGGACATTCATAAGTCGAGCGGGCCGGATGGTATCCCCCCAATTGTGCTGCGTACTTGTGCTCCTGAGTTGGCTCCGGTCTTAACGCGCCTTTTCCGGTACCTGTACTCGCTCGGCACTGTCCCGAAGTGCTGGAAGACCGCTTTGATACATCCGATCCCTAAAAAAGGCGATCGCTCTGATCCGTCCAACTATCGCCCAATAGCTATAACCTCCTTGTTCTCCAAAATAATGGAATCCATTGTTAATTGCCAGCTCTTGAGGTATCTAGAGGGCCACCAGCTGATTAGCGATTATCAGTACGGCTTTCGTCGTGGTCGTTCGGCTGGTGACCTTCTTGTATACCTTACACATAGATGGGCAGAGGCAATTGAGTCCAAGGGGGAGGCGCTAGCGGTTAGTTTGGACATAGCGAAAGCCTTCGATCGGGTGTGGCACAGAGCACTGCTCTCGAAGCTTCCAGCCTATGGGCTTCCCGAGAAATTACGCAATTGGATCTCCAGCTTCCTGGCCGATCGGAGCATCAAGGTCGTCATCGACGGAGCATGTTCCGACCTAAAACCCGTAAACGCTGGGGTCCCACAAGGCTGTGTTCTATCCCCGACCCTATTTCTTCTGCATATCAATGATATGTTGAAACTTAGCAACATTCATTGCTATGCGGATGACAGTACTGGGGATACTTTTTACACTGGCCGGGCAGGTATTTCTCGGGCAGTTGTTGATGAGTACCGGAACAAACTTGTGTCTGAAGTTGAAACTCTACTTCGTGGAGTCTCAGATTGGGGCAGACAAAACCTAGTCCAATTTAACCCCAAGAAGACACAAGTTTGCGCGTTTTCCGCTAAAAAAACACCCTTTGTCGCTACTCCTCTTTTCGAAAACACTCTTCTTAAAGCCACAGCCAGCATTGGAATACTTGGCGTTGACATATCGAGCGACGTTCAGTTTCGCGGTCACTTGGAGGGAAAGGCTAAATTAGCCTCCAAAAAGCTTGGTGTGCTCAGTAAGGCGAGACGGTACTTCACTCCGGGCCACCGCATGCAACTATATAAAGCGCAAATTCGGCCCCACATGGAGTACTGCTCTCACCTCTGGGCGGGGGCTCCCCAGTACCAGCTCCTTCCACTTGACCGTATACAACGCAGAGCGGTTCGAATCGTTGACGACCAATCCCTCTCCGAGCGGCTTGATCCTTTGGCGTTGCGTAGAGATGTGGGGTCACTCTGCATCTTCTACCGCATTTACCATGGAGAGTGTTCAGAGGAGTTGTTCGGATTAATACCTGCAGCTGAGTTTCATCATCGGACGTCGAGGCAGAATACGAAATTCCACCCGTATCACCTCGACGTCCAACGTTCCACAACTGAGCGTTTCTCAAGGCAGTTTTTGCCGCGCACCACGACTATGTGGAACCAGCTGCCCACTGAAGTATTCCCGAACCAATTCGACTTAGGGTCCTTCAAGAAAAGAGCGTACCAATTTTTAAAAGGCCGGCAACGCACTCGCGAGCCCTCTGGCATTGAGAGTGTCCATGGGCGGCGGTATCACTTAACATCAGGTGAGCCTCCTGCCCGTTTGCCCCCCGTTCTATAAAAAAAAAAAAAAAAAAAAGTTAGGCAAGACAATAGGAAAAAATAGGAATTCTTTTAGGTTAACATTTATTGCCAGCGAAAAGTCGCGAAAGCACTATTAATATTCTTTCATAACATTATAGCACTGGTATGTCCATATGACGAAGTGTACGAGGAATGCCCAGACCCCTGCGTACCCAATATATGTGCAAGCATTTGGTCGAGATTCAAACCTTGCCCACCTTGCCCTGAAGATTGTAAACCGACCTGTCGATGTCCCGAGGGCCAGTTCAGGAACGAAATCGGTCAATGTATCACTTATCAAGAGTGTTGTAAGTATTATTAAAATACCAGAAAAAAACGTGTGGATGTAGTTTTATGCGTCTGAGATAAGTGAGATGAGTTCTACCAAACATTTTTCAAATTCGGTAATTTTTCGACGTTAATTTTATTGACTATAGATGTATCAATATTTATATTATTTTAAAATCGAAACGTATTATGTTTTCATAAACAGTAATTTCTATACTCAATACTATTACTTTTCACCATGTTTCAAATATAATATAAAATTATTTAAAAGAAAAACTAGTATTAGACGTGTGGAGCTCGCACTTATTTCACGAAACTAATATAGGAAACGTGCGTCAACATACCTGTCTAACAAAACACTAACATTCAACGCTTAAGTCAAATTTTGTTAATATCCAAAAATATAATCATCGTAAAGTCCGTCCTTTACTAGTGTACATTACAAATGCCCATAGTTTACTATGGTATGGTACACTATTGGTATGAAGTTTATGACTCGCACTAAGCTATTTATTTTATTTTACTTTATATTTTAGTGAAATGTAAAGGTCTTCACGAATATTTCGCATGCGACGGAGCATGTGACAATGAATGTGACAAACTAAGTCGACAGAGTAAAGATAATTGTCCAATTGTCAATATTCAGTGTAACAGAATGTGTTATTGTGAAGATGGATATGCACGAGATGCTAATAACACCTGTATTCCTATCCACGAATGTCCACGTAAGTTTTAGTAATCATAATTTTATTCTCAATGTCATTTATAAATTGTAATATAATTTTTCTGACCAGAATCAAAATATAAGTAGCCTTTGATATAGTTTTAAACTCAATATAGATTAAATAAAATTACGCAGTAAATTTTATAGTTGAAGATTATATTTTTAAAAATTATTGTACATTTTAAATACTTTCATAAGTATTCAAGACAAAGAAAAGTATTAAAGTTGCTTTATAATATGACTACTAAAAGCCATCCCCTTTTCTAAAGCTAATATAGATATCTGAACTATAATCTTCGTATTGTAAATTAGTATATCATGCTAATAATACAAATCTAACTATTATAGGGTATTGAGTTAGATTTTATGTTTTGTTAGAAATTCATACTTCCTTTAATATTTTAGCGGAGTGTCCATTAAATGAGCGGTACGTCAACAATATAAATGAAATATGTAGAGCGAAGACGTGTTCAGAACTCGACCAACATTTACCGTGTCAGGTAAAAGGGTATTGCAACACCGGCCCTCCTGGTTGTATTTGTATCGATGGATATGTAAGGAACGCCGATGGCGTATGTGTACTTACTACCGAATGTCGTAAGTATAGGCTATTGGCTAAGTTTCGCTTTTATGAGACTAATGTTTTGCATACGTAGAATATATAAATATATCAGAAAATGATCTTTAAGTAAAATATTTTTACAGCTCCAAAATGTCCGAAGGGCGAAGTATACGAGAAATGCCCAGACCCATGTGTACCCAATACATGTGAAGTAATTTATTCGACATATAAACCTTGCCCACCTTGCCCTGAAGATTGTAAGCCGACCTGCCGATGTCCCGATGGCCAGTTCAGGAATAAAATCGGTCAATGTATTACTTCAGAAGAGTGTTGTAAGTATTGTTAAAATATCACAAAAACATAAAACCAGGTGTTTAAAAAAAATATAAGAATGATCTTTCTGTTATGTCCAAACAAAAAAAAAATATAATTCATGTTACTCACTGTTATTTTTCAAAGCCAAATTTTGTAAAAAAATAGCACCCTTAATAAAAGGTATAATTGGATTTTTTTTTAAATAAAATGTTTTTTATTTGTCATTATGAAACTAAAGATTACAGACAGTTCTTTTATAATGTCACAAATAATAAATAATAAGATAATTAATTTCTTTGTTAAATTCTTAAGGTAACGAATAATTTCAATTCGGCCCACATAGTACACTACGACTAATATACAGAATCACTCAGGAATAACTCTTTGTAACGACTGCAGTTTTTGGCAAAATAGGGATTTATAACACAAGACCTACAAATGAACTAATTTTTTTTACGAATTGTTCTTTATAATTCTAAACGATTTATACGAAACAAACTTGTTTATTGTCATAGAAGAACGCAAACCTAAATTGCGCAACGTGTAGCAGTAAGAACGGGATGCGCGGCAGGGATGTGAGAGTTATTATTGTCTTTTTTCTTCCTCTCTCCGCGCTAACCGCTGGAGAATTACATTTTGTGCCCTTAGCATATGAAACTCCACTTTACCAAAAATAGTCTGGCTTTTGTATTACTAGGAGAGCGAAATAATTATCGTTAGGTACACCACACTAGTGTAGATTACAAAGGCCCACAGTAGAGTATTTGTACGAAGTTTATAACTTGCATTTAGCTATTTATTGTATTTTACTTTATATTTTAGTGAAATGTACCGGGCCTCACGAATACTTCTCATGCGGTGGGGCGTGTGACAATGAATGTGACAAACTAAGTCAACAGAGTAAAGATAATTGTCCAATTGTCAATATTCAGTGTAACAGAATGTGTTATTGTGAAGATGGATATGCACGAGATGCTAATAATACCTGCATTCCTATCCACGAATGTCCACGTAAGTTTAAATAGGAATTATCTTTTCTCCAAGTATATCATGATTATAAATTAAAATATAATTTTTCTGACCAGAATCAAAATATAAGTAGTCCTTTTTTGGTATATAGTTTTTGCAAGACTCAATATATTGTTTCATTTATAATACACATTACGCAGTTAAATAATTGTTTTTGTTGGAGATTTTAATAAATCTTAATACAAATAACTTGGTACATTATTAAATCCTTTCATAAGTATTGCAATACGAAGCAAAAGTATTCAGCACACGTTGCTTTATAATATGACTACTAAAAGCCATCCCTTTTTCTAAAACTAATATAATTTCTGAACTATAATCTTCGTATTGTAAATTAGTATATCATGCTAATAATACAAATCTAACTATTATAGAGTATTGATTAAAAAGTTTTGATTTTGTAAGAAATTCATACAATTTCTTCTATATTTTAGCGGAATGTCCATTAAATGAGCGGTACGTCAACAATATAAATGAAATATGTAGAGCGAAGACGTGTTCAGAACTCGACCAACATTTACCGTGTCAGGAAAAAGGGTATTGCAACACCGGCCCTCCTGGTTGTATTTGTATCGATGGATATGTAAGGAACGCCGATGGCGTATGTGTACTTACTACCGAATGTCGTAAGTATAGGCTTTTGGCTAAGTTTCGCTTTTATGACACTAATGTTTTGCATACGTAGAATATATAAATATATCAGAAAATGATCTTTAAGTAAAATATTTTTACAGCTCCAAAATGTCCGAAGGGCGAAGTATACGAGAAATGCCCAGACCCCTGCATACCCAATACATGTGCAAGTATTTGGTCGAAATACAAACCTTGCCCACCTTGCCCTGAAGATTGTAAGCCGACCTGCCGATGTCCCGATGGCCAGCACAGGAATAAAATTGGTCAATGTATTACTACTGAAGAGTGTTGTAAGTATTATTAAAATACCAGAAAAATAATAATTTAATTTTAATCTGTTAAAGAAAATAGAAACAATTATTTTTGAACTTTACTGGCTTTCTTGCGGATTTTTCACATCAGATTTTGCATATTAATAAAAATCGTATTATCTGTATTAAGTCTAATATAGTTTTGAATCGGTAGTAAATGTTTAATGGTTACGGGTAAAGGGTTAATTCACTGTACAAATAATGGCAATGTACAGTTGACAATTGACGTTAAATTAAAGTTAGAAACCTGTCAAAGTATACAAAAGTCAAAACATCAATATTTTCAAATTATTTAATCCGACCAACAATTAGCGTTCCTTAAAAAAAATATGTTCTAAACAGCTTTTAAACAAATTGCTGTCGGTAGATCGTTCGTGTCTAGAGTACCAAAGCGCTTCATAGATTGGTTCCAGGGGTAAGACTTATTTAGGTTATGACTTATTTCCGTGTTTTAGTGAAATGTAGGGGTCCTCACGAATATTTCTCATGCGGTGGAGCGTGTGACAATGAATGTGACAAACTAAGTCAACAGAGTAAAGATAATTGTCCAATTGTCAATATTCAGTGTAACAGAATGTGTTATTGTGAAGATGGATATGCACGAGATGCTAATAACACCTGCATTCCTATCCACGAATGTCCACGTAAGTTTAATCTTTGACTGTACTACATTTATTTATAGCACTGACGGAAAGTAATTTGATGTTTTCTTGTTTGTAATTTTACTATTAGGTACACTACTGAACCTTTTTTTTATAATTCTTAAATGTAATGTCTATACTATTAGCTACTTCTTTGAAGGCTCTATCTATAGATCTGTCTCATGAACTATAGTTTCAAGTTAATTATTTTTTTATTGCGATGGATAGCCCATTTATTTGAGGAAGTCATATCTTTAAGGTAATACGTAATACCATAATGTTTTTACCTATATTGCCAGAAACAGAATACTTTACAGCAATAAGCTTGCAATTGTCTTATATATTTGGCCGTTTTTATTAACGAACTGCATAAATAAACACATTTTTTTAATATTATTTTAGCGGAGTGTCCAGTAAATGAGCATTACGTGAAGAATATAAATGAAATATGTAGAGCAAAGACGTGTTCCGAGCTCGGTAACCCTTTACCGTGTCTGGAAGATGGTTATGATAATAGTGGTCCTCCTGGTTGTATATGTGATGATGGATTTATAAGGAACTGTGATGGTTTATGTGTACCTACAACTGAATGTCGTAAGTTTACGCAATGTTATTACGTTTGAATGTGTTTTAATAATGATTAAAAAAAAATACAATTATTAAATGAGCAGTGTTGGCCTAGTGGCTTCAGCGTGCGACTCTCATCCTGAGGTCGTAGGTTCGATCCCCGGCTGTGCACCAATGCATTTAACATTCGCTCGAACGGTGAAGGTAAACATCGTGAGGAAACCGACATGTCTTAGACCCAAAAAGTCGACGGCGTGTGTCAGGCACTTGTGGCTGATCACCTACTTGCGTATTAGATTTAAAAATGATCATGAAACAGATTCTGACATCTGAGGCCCAGACCTAAAAAGGTTATAGCGCCATTGAAACAAAATTATAAATGTTTATTTCAAGCACTGTGTTTGTTTTTTGTTGTGCTTTTTAACAAAAAAAAGGGTGCGTGTACTTATGTACGCGCGTAAGAAGTTATACTTCTTTGGCATTATTAAAAATAGATTTTAATTGCATGCAAATAATTAATTACAATTAAATAATCAAAGACTGGAAAAGGAGTTATTATAGTCGATAAAGTTCAGTTTGCATTTGAAAAATTTAATAAATAAATATTTATTATTATTCTCTTACATTAAGTGTAACATAAATTCTATTATTATTCTAATGTTGTTTTTAAATTATGTCCAATTCCGTAGCATATTCCGTGGGCAACTTCATTCTGTTAATTTTGTGTCACGGTGCGCGCGCATCGTAAAATTTCACTCTCATCAATTTTTTATAACGCGCATAAAGAAGTATAACTTCAAAAATTGTGAACTTAATTTCAAATTATTTCAGCTGCATGTGGAGGAGATTTTAATGCTACCACTGGACCTGGTACTTTTTGCATAACTTGTGACAACTATAAGAAAAAGAAACAAGTTGCTTGTATACTTATATATAAGATAAACGGTTGTGCCTGCAGAGACAAATATGTTTACAACAAGCATTTAAAGCAGTGCGTCTTACCTGAAGACTGTCGTGAGTATATCTTTGTTTGGACACGAGTTAAGTTCGGCGGCGGTTGTTGGAGGATTTTCAAATATATGAAACACTTAGAAGCTAATTGTCAAGTGGCTTTAATTATTTAAAACAAGAGCTTATAACGAACATCAATTAGGGGTAGTAGGGTTGAGGCGTTAGATTTATAGGTTCTTTAAACTAAGTGGCACATCTATTATTACAACATCGACATCACTTATAAAGAATATAAGTGATGTCGATGTCATATATACTTGGAAACGAGAATGTTTTTTTTACTTATTAAATATCTAAAGGCGGCAAACAAAAAGCAAAGAACGGGGCTCGCAAGTAATTGCGCCCCGGCTCGCCCATGAATATTATAAGTAAAAATATTACCGATGTAGCCAGGGCTATTTCGAGAGCCGCGAAACGCGTCATTCGTAAACTAGTTTATTGTAATTAATATATTGTATCTTTTTAGTAAAAAGTTAAGAGATAGAAAAAGTTCCTGGATACAATGGCAGGGGGTTAAAGTACTATTAGTATATTAAAAAAACCGATAGTGTTTTATTACAATTTGTGAATGTATGAAAAACTAAAGGGCTATTTACTACGCAAAACGAACTATACAATATATATCAATTAAAAAACGTTAGGTTAAATATATTTAAACCCAGCTAAGTTCTTTTTATATGTTCTTTTCACCGTACTCTGGAACTTTCTATAACGATTGCGTTACCGACGCCAAAGTTTTTATGTTCGATGTAGTTCTCTCAAAATCCGGAGTGCTGATGTCGCATTTTTAGAGACGTTGTCGGTGTTGCTATTGAAAATTTCAAATCTGAGTATGTGTTCAGAACACGTTCTTGAACTTACCCAATAACTTACTTATTCATAAAGTGTAAATCAGTTGAATTAAAATCTTAAGTTATGTTACCTTAATGAGGTTTCGTCTCTGTCTATTAAATTGTGTTTTCGCAGTAATTAAGACAAATGAGTACTATCGGAAATCAATGTAAATCTTGTATCATTTAAAAAAAAAATCGTGCTTACAAAGTACACATGTCAGAAGTGAAACTTCTTTGTAAATTAATTATTACTAAGGTAAAAGCCCCAATAGATGATCATGTACCAGTATATGATCTATCCATGTATTTGTATATCTATATTCAAACTGTTTACATACTGTATACGTGCTAATGATAGACAGAATTGCCATCTAAAGTTCCAATATGTAACTACTAAACGAATACATCAACCAATAGCGTGTATTTATTCTCGATCTCCCTTTCTCATTCTCTCTCAATCGCTCTCTCCCTTTTCTTCGACAAAAACGCTGCACATCTTCGTGACGTTTTATCCGTAAAAGTTTTAACCTCATGCGCCTAAAGAAGCATCATTTTAAAAAAATTTATTCGATTACAAAAACTACTTTTTAAAACCACGTAATTTGCATGCCATTATGATATTATTGAAATAAATCAGTGGAACTACAACCATATTAGGTCTGGGCCTCAGATTTCTGTGTCAGCCTTGCGATTCTGTAACTCACTTTTCGAACTCACACAGCGGTTTTCACAGCGGCGGTCGCGCTAAAATCAGTCGTGAAGCAGTCATTTTATGATTTGGCATTCTGATAAGGAGGGAGTTTGTAGTTTATTATTTAATGATTCTGTTCTTAATGATTTATTTGTCAATGGCCTCTAGTGCCTGACACACGCCCTTGAATTTTTGCGTCTGCTGGTTTCCTGACGATGTTTCCCCTCACCGTATTAGCGAATGCTAAATGCGCACATAGAAATAAAGTCCATTAGTGCACATCCGGGGATCGAAATAACCCTAGGCATGAGAATCATTGAGCAGTATTGGCAGCTCTTATAAAACGTTATTTGTTAACATAATCCTAGTTTGAAATCCAGAGAAAAAAAAAGGTGAATATTAAACATATTCTTTTGTTTCAGCTCGAAAACATCATCATGACGGGTGTTGAGGACATCTTTGAATGTATTTCGCAGTATATATTTTTGTTGTTTTTGTATATTTTAATAAAAACAAAGAATAAATTGAGTTTTTTTAATCTCATTTATCCTTAATTTTAAATGAAATGGTTAGCGCTGCAACCTGATTTGCATATTCTCTCTGTTTAACATAAAACAATGAATGTCTGTGTTAAGTTAGTAACATCCAATCCCTTTCCTACGACACTATCGAAAGTGTTGACTCTGGTAAATACTAACGATGGGAAGTAAAAAGACTCCGCAACTAGTGGATATCTATATATCTTACAAAAGGCGTTCTAGTTACACTATTAATAACTCAAGTACGGATGAACCGATTTGGCTTTTGGATTGAATTTTTTTTTATGTAATAGGAGGCTCTTCGTGTTAAGTGATACCGCCGCCCATGGATAGTCACACTGCCAGAAGGTTCTCAAGTGCGTTGCCGGCCTTTATGGAGAGGTAGCTTAGAATCAGGAGACGGACATAGGATTATCCAGTTTCCGTGGGACATGACGTAAAGGAAACGCAACAAAAAGAGAAACGAAAAATGTACCAATCAAAACATCAGACTAGCCGTTCATTTGTTAATCATTGTATAACAAAACGCAACTGACAGCTAAACGTACATATTTATTATACATCTGTGGTTAAGTGTTATTGAAAATTTGACAGAAGTTTGGAAGTTCATCGATCGATGAGTTTATTTTGATTTTATATTAGCTTATCGAGCCGATATTATAATTAACAATGCCACAACCAAGTCGATCGAATCTTTCCCGATAAAGCCGTAATGCAATAAATGGGTGGGCCGATTTTGATGAGTTTAAGTGGATTCAGATTCTTTACAATTAGAAGTATTTTGCCTGTTTTTTTAAGTTTAAAATTTTGTACTTAAGATGTGTGTCAACGTTTGTCAGTCCGCTAGTATACAATAAAATAATAAATTTTAAAATAAAAGTTAAAATACCTACAGCCTGTGCAAATAGTAAGTTAGCCATCAGTTCATAATATTAGTCTATTAAAACTATGCTTATTTCATAGAAAATTTATGGAGAGAATATTAAATAAATTCGAAGGCTCTTTATCATGGAAGGCTTATAGTTTAAATCTCCTCAACAAACTTGTGAACCGTGAACTTGCAGGTTATTTTTGGACTTAGTAAGGACCTGGCAGGTTGGCAACGTGTATGAAGTAGTGAACATGTAACAAGTGACCATGCATGCCACTTTTCAGCAGAAGCTGCAGTATCGAAAACGTTTATTAAAAAATAATTGTTAAATTGTGAATATCATAAGCGTTAAATGTTTTAAAGCTGCAGAGTTTGAATGCTTCAAAGCACTATTACCAGGATCTATTTCACCGAAGCTCACCAGATTTTAGGTGATACCACCGCCCATTGACACTCTCAATGCCAGACGGCTCGCGAGTGCGTTGCTGGCCTTTTAAGAAGGACCCTAAGTCGAATTGGTTCGAAAATACTTCAGTGGGTAGCTGGTGGTGGTGCGTGGCAAAACCTGCCTTAAATAACGCTCAGTTGTGGATCGAAGGACGTCGAGGTGATACGAGTGCAATTTCGTATTCTGCCTCAACCTCTGATGACGAAACTCAGCTGCGAATATTAATCCGAACAACTTCTCTGAACATGTTTCATAGTCAAATGCGGTAGAAGATGCAGAGAGATCTCACATCTCTACACAACGCTAGGGGGTCAAGCCGCTCGGAAAGAAATTGGTCGTGAAGTGGTCTTGAGTGGAAGGAGGTGGTACTGGGGAAGCTCCCGTGGAACAGTAGGGGTACCACGTGGGGCCGAATTTACGCTTTATACAATTGCAAATGATGTCTCGGAGTGAAGTACCGTCTTGTCTTGCTGAGCACGCCAAGCTTCTTTGAGGCTAATTTAGCCTTTCCCTCCAAAATGTCAACTCCAAGTATTCCGATGCTGGCTGAGGCTTTAAGAACACTTTTATGAAAGAGGAGTAGCGACAAGGGGTGTATCTTTTAGTGGAAAACGTCTTGTGTCTTCTTGGGGTTAAATCGGACTAGATTTAGTAGACCACACTCCGAGACTCCACGTAGCAGAATTTCGGCTTCAAACAGAACTTTGTTCCTGTACTGTTCCTGTGTGTAATCTGCAACTGCCCGAGAAATAGCTGCACGGCCAGTGTAAAGAGTATCCCCAGTGCTGTCCGCATAGCAATGAATGTTGCCAAGTTTCAACATATCATTGATATACAGAATATATTGTGGATAAGACATAGCCTTGTAGTGTTTACGGGTTTAAGGACGGCCTGCTGCGTCGATGACGACCTTGAAGCTCCGATCGGCCAAGTTATTTTGAAATATATAATTTTATTTTGTACCTGATATAGCATAATAGTAAATCCGATAAATTCGTGATATTTGTCCACTTACAATCCAACCTATAAAGGACACGATTAAGCTATAAATTATTTTAATATTTCTTTATAGGCGACAATTAATGTAATGCAATCATATTTAAATACTATGGTACACACCTATCATTTAAGTATCACTTATCCTTCATAATGTCTAAATATATTTTTGCGTTATTGTTAGCGGGGTTAATTTGTACCATCAACTGTGATAGTTCATCATCATCAGGTAACTTTTATTTAAAATTTATATAATAGGTTTCAAGATTTCTTTATTTAAAAAACGACTATGGGTATTGCACTAAAATCTTACATCTACAAAAAAAAGGACGTGCGTACAAAGTACACATGTCAGAAGTGAAACTTCTTTGGCAAACTAATTTTTAAGTCTTGTTTATATTTATACAAATATAAAACTTTAGATTTCCGAGACTTAGGGGGAGGGAAAAAGGAAGATATGTTAGTAATTTAATGAATTTAATTGTCATTAAGACAATTATATATTAAAAGTATCGAAAATTAATACAAATTATTAATTTAATTTTTTTTCTATTTCTTCGATAATAAAGACAGGTGGCCTTTTAATTTACAGTTCGCCATTTGAGATTTCAATAATTTTTTTTGCATAAAATATAAAATACTAATATTTCATAAATTCTCTTTACGAAATTTTAATTTTTCAAAATAGAATTTCTATAAGGTAATTCACCCTTCTCACTCTCTCTCGCTCGGTCTCAATCGCTCTTTCCTTTTCTTCGGCAAAAACGCGTTTCGTTCGTAAAAAATTTACCCTCATGCGCCTAAAGAAGTTTCACTTCAATAATAATTGTGAATGAGCAAACAGCGTGTATGAATTGTGTTATAGAGCAGGTTGTAGGTTCGATTCCCGGCTGTGCACCAATGGACTTTCTGTCCATGTGCGCTTCCAACTCTCTGTATTGAAATATGAACATGCAAACATTTCATAGATTTTGTTTCGTTATTATTTGCTTCGTCTGCCTTCTGTGTCTGACACACGCCGTCGACTTTTTGGGTCTAAGGTCAAATGCCTGTTTCCTCACTATGTTTTCCTTCATATTATGAACATGTTAAATGCCATGACAGAAAGTTTACTGCACGAAGTTCGCCTACGACCTCAGAGGGATGAGTTTCGAAGCCACTATGCCAACACTGCTCTCATTGTACTAATAAAATTTGTAATTAACAAATTATACCTGTTGTTACCCTACGTATGCATTTTTATATTAAGTAGTTTTAATGTATCTGATTGCCTGTTTTAAGCACCAAGATCACCCATTTACACCTTTTTTCAATTTTATGATACTATTTATGATGTAAATGAAGTTATATATAATTCTTCTGTGAGTGTGTATGTCACTGAACTTATCTCAAACGACTGGACCGATTTTGATGAAATTTTTTGTGTGTGTTCAAGGGGATCTGGGAATGGTTTAGATTTCACCGGCAGATGGCACTGCAGTCGGTACTTTCATACTTTGCTTAATATCCTAATCGCTTTAAATATCATGCAGGACAACGTCTGTGGGGTCCACTAGTGAAGTTATATTATTAAATGTATCCAGTATATTTCCTTACAAGTCACTTGCGTTATGTATTTATTGTTATTAATATGAAACAGCGTTGTTGACAACAGGAACTGGCTACATTAAATTGGATAGTTTTTGGTAGCCAGGAATTCTTTATATGGTGTGGTATAAGTGAAGTTATTAGTTAAAATATAGTTAAAATACTAGAAACAAAACAAAGAAAACATTTGATATGGGTTTAATTTTGCAATACTTGTGGAAAAAAATAATGAAAAAATAAAACAACAATAAAAAAATGATATAAAAACTTTAGAGGTGTCAAGGGACACCCGGATGGAACGAAATTCCTTTCGATTAATTTATATGTTAATTGGTATCATAACAGTATGATAGATTTTCTCGACACTAATCTTACGACGAAAAAAAAAGCCAACATCACGAGGTGTTCTCTGGCGGTCACCCATCCAAGTACTGACCTCGCCCGACGTTGCTTAACTTCGGTGATCGGACGAGAACCGGTGTATTACAATAGCAAATAGCAAAAAAAGTGTCGTGACAACTTTTCGTAAGAATTTTTTCCGTCTAGCCCCCTTTCACAACGCGCGATAAGGAACTTCGTTCCAAAAAATAGATAAAAACAATTCATCATGTTAAAATTTTAGATCGATCGGTCCAGAACTTTTTGAGTGTTTGAAGCGTACACAAACCAACATGACATTTTTTATATATATAGAGTTGGTTTTAAAATATAATTATTTATTAATTATTCATATATATTTCAGATGAAAGTGATGAACAGCAACGTATGAGAAACAATTTCGATCAAGGGAACGATGATTTCACCTCGCGCTTTTTATACGTGTGTTTCATACATTTTGTTATTATTTGCCTATTATGTTTAACATACCTTCTTATTAAACTAAATCACTCTTATACTAGCGGGACAAGCTTTGATAGGTCTCTTCACAGTCTAAATCTCTTTTTCAGGACGTAATTGACGAGAAGCCGAATGCGAGTGTGATAACGTCTCCGTTCAGTGTTCTATTTCTCTTATCACAATTAGCTCTTTATGCTAAAGGGAAGACTTATGAGCAACTGGCGAGTCTCCTGAATTTGAATAAGAGAAATGACGTATGTACACATAGAAATATGTTCTAGTATTTTTGTAATTCTTCTAGTAAATATACAAACTGTTCACGGTATATACGTATTGTAAACTACTTAATATTTTGTTCATGGACTTGAGTGATACTCTGGAATTAATATTTCTAGTAAAAGCAACTTTGATATACAAAAACCCAAGATGCACAATCAACGTCTAAAAAACGTCCTCAAAAAATGAGCGCAAATTCTAAATTGTGCGCTCATTTCAATAGTCTCGGTCTATAAGTGGATCGATTTATTTATTTGTTTTTTTTATAAATAAATTTATGTACTCTTGAACTTTTTTGTGTGTAGTTTTTGACAAATATATTTACGCTATATAAAGTGTGGGTGGAGGTAGCCAATTTAACATTTTTTTTTAATATTAAAGAACCTTTTAACCGGATTAATGTTATGTATTATTATAAATTTACAACTATTTAAATCAACACCTTTTGTCTTCAGTCACCGTGACCACTCACCTGTAAAGCACCCGAAAAGTCGGATAAATTTAAAATTATGTTAAATAGTTGTAAATAAAAAGTCATGTTCGACTCCACTAATATTTCCTACGACCACGGTCGGTCGTAAAATTTTATTGCTTTAAGTACGTATACACTGCGTTGTAATAACAACTTTAAGCAATTGTAGTTGATTTTGCAATAATATATGCTTGTAACATATACTGTTATGGACAGAAATAGTGTTTCGGGACACTTTGAGCGTTACTTTTATTGAGACTTATTTGGTTTTTTGTATATCAATGAGTAAAAGCAAATGTAATTAAAAGTATTCTCCTTGACATTTCTGAAATCATAAAATGTTCATATCAAAATATCAGTAACTTAATGTACACTTATGAATGCCAATATAATGGTTTTAAATTTACAATTACTGCCAGTGTTCAAATCACGGGCGTGACGAGAAGAGACAAGAAGAACTGACAATAAACTCTCCGTCTTTTAAATCGCCAAGGATTTTTCCTCCAGATACTACCTCCAACTGTTAAAAAAAGAGCGTACTAAGTATGCTCAAAGGCCGGCAACGCACCATCTAAAATGGATGTCTACGGGATGCGATGACTGCCCATTTGTGGCGCCCGTCCCTCCTATGCTATAAACAAAATAGTTTCTATTATTATTAATTTTTGCAAAACATTAAAGTTCATTTACGAGCGAAATAATTAAATTGCAGATCCGATCCACGATACCCCAATATTTGGATGAGATCAATTCTCAACGGAACGTTAACTTTTCTTTAGCAGAAAGAGTGTTTGGAAGTATCGATTATCCGTTCAGTAAATCCTTTAAACGGGACACTAAACTCACATTCCATGCTCAAGCTAGAAACTTGGACTTTAGCGAACCGAAGGAAGCTGCTAAGGAAATAAATTCATGGGTAATTAATTTGTTCACAGCTTGGTGTATCCTTCTAAGTATAGGTTCGATTCCCGATGACATATTTATCTCATTGAAGCAACGAAGAGTCTCCATAATACAATTTAATTAATCCAATTTAAACTAACCTATTTATAACTTCAACATTGATCTTCCAACACATTGTAGGGTCAAATGGCTTCGTTTGATAATACACTTTTCTTTCTTATAAGTCTCTAGGTATCAGATTAACTAAGAAACTGAGTCGAATTACGTACGTATATTATTATAAAATTACTCACTAATAGTATATCTTTTTACTCAAAAGCAGCGATGTACGCCTGACACACGGGTCTAAGAGCCAGACTTAGCCTCAACTTTGACTTGTTGATATGATATGTTAAGTCCCTAATTGTTATTTCGCCCAAAAATCCTTTGGTGCGGTCCATCCCGTCTCGGTTGTCAATCGCTTAGCCAATAGCTGCTCAGAACACTAAAGAAACTCAGTGGGGTTTTTAAATTTTTCCCACATGTTTACCGTTCCATAATTTTACATGTATTAATTAATGCAACTAGATCTTGTGCTTGAATCATTTACATGCTATCATATACATCTTATATAATATAAAAAACATGTTACATGTCACATAAATGGCTATGTCACTGCTTATAAAGAAGTATTCTAATAACTAAAGAATTTTTGAACGATGTGGAACCACCTCCCCACTGAAGTATTCGACTTAGGGTCCTTCAAGAAAAGAGCGTACCAATTCGTAAAAGTCTGACAACACACTCGCGAGCCCTCTGGCATTGAGAGTGTCCATGGGGGCTTTCACTTAGGTGAACCTCCTGCCCGTTTGCCCCTGTTCTTAAAAAAAAAACAATAAAAAAAATTTTCCATTCCATATTTACATTTAAGATTTTACTGCCTTTTAATTTGACATTCGTCTCTCTATCTATGATTTATTCTAGATTGCATCACAGACAAATGATCTTATTAAAGATTTAATTTCACCATCTGCACTAGACGAAAACACTAGACTTGTGCTAACAAATGCTATTTATTTCAAGGTAAGCTTTTCTATTATTCTTATTTTTTATAGCTTGTTACAGGTAACAGGACTTTCTGCTTTTAATATTTATATTAACTTAAAAAAGCGGCGTTATTTAAATTTAAATCTCAAATTGATATCTGTACTAGGACACAGCCCGGAAGTTCAATTTGAAGAAAAAAGGCTAAACCTAGCTTAGTATAAGTTTAAAAAAAAAAGTCACTCACTCAACGACCAAAAATCCTCCTGTGCCACTTCCCGTCAATAACTGGGTTTCAGCTGCAGCAGGTCCTCTTCCACCACTGACCCTGATACCGCTTCATCAACTTTTTAATCAATGTTTATTTACTATCCAGGGAGACTGGAAAAGTCCATTCAATTCTAAAAAGACTAGACCAGAAACATTCCACGTCACAAACAGGAAGAAAACTTCAGTGAAAATGATGAATCAGATCGGCCACTTTAATTACGGTTATATTGAGAATATACAATCAAAGGTTTGTTTTAAATAAACTTTACAAAACATATAACCTTTAGTACGAACAATGTCAAATTGAATCGTTTTATAATATCGTGATTGTGAACACGAACATAAATCACGTGGCGCTTTAAGCCGCGGTATAGTTTAGATATTTCTGTGTTTGTTTCCTGATAATTTTCTTTTAAAATGGTATTTTCTTTACGCAAAGGTCAGCTTTCTATGTTCGACGAATTTACAGCCTACACGGATCTTACAAGAAAGCAAAGAACACACATCGGTCAAACATTATTGAAGTCCATGTCTTTTAACAATTGTTCATGGAGTAATACGTTTGCGAGCTATTACGGAAAAGGCCCGATGAAGCCTTTAATCTTTTCAAATAAATATTTTAAAGCCGAAGTCAGTCAGTAGAGGTTAGAATAAATAATAAAATTTAATAAATCCGGGATTGCATTGATACTCAATTACTATATTGTGGTAAAATAAAAAGCTGTATTTTTTAAAATAAATGAAATTTGAAATGTAAGGAATGGGGAGGGACCTCTGTCAAAAAAATGCGTTAGTTAAAAGATGTTAGTAATAGTCATAAAAAAGTAATTATGGCATCTAAGGTACCTATTAAGTTTGTTATGGAAGCTAGGAAGGGACCCAGGTATTTAAAAGGGTTCCCAAATCTTACACATTATAATACATTGTTATAATGAATAAACACATTTATTTAACGAGTTAAGTATGTCTACATGGTGAATAATGTTTAGAGTTGATTTTCACTGTTTATTAATCACCCTTAGATAACATTTCGTATTTAAGTTTATTTTTTATGACATAATATTATCCTACAATAACTATTTATTAAGTTAATTACATATTGGTTTAGCTAAATAGATTAAAAATAATAAATAAATAAAATCGTTTATTTACAATGATAGTGGTACAATTAGATCGATTAATTATAAAAATCCGCACAATCAGCAATATGCATAATTTTTTTTATAATGTCATAATAATAGTAAGTTATTTATAATTGGCGTCAAACTTATGGTCTAAATACTCACCCATGCTATAAAGGCACCTTGTTTCTAAAAATTGAATCACCTTCCCCTTGAAAGCATTACACGGCAGTGATCTATAACTTCTAGGAAGGTGATTTAATTTGATAGCCATGGGGTAACAATTTTTAGAGTACATCGTGGTGCAGCATTATATATTCAAAGTAATATTATTTTTCAGGTCGTCCAAATGTTTTATAAAAACGAAAACTTCTCCTTCCTCTCAATATTGCCGAATAAGAGACATAGTGTACATTCAGTGGCTGATCAACTGCAAGATCTAGACTTACAGTATGATGTCATAAATAATCTAGACTCAGCTCGAGTGAATCTTTCAATTCCTGTAATACACACTGAATCAAGCACCGATTTAGCTGATATTTTAAAGAAGGTAATTAGGCCCAATGGCTCAATGGTTCTATTCTCATCTAAAATTTAATTATGTCGGATTTGCGACACCAGATTCTTTATTTTATTTTATACTTTATTGATTTTTATGAATTATTTATGAAAATATAGCCTTTTGGCTTGCTTTTGCATTACATGGAATTACACCATACAGACGAATATTATGTACTAACAAATTGCTATGTGTGTGTGCAATATGTGAAGATGTGTGTGTGTCTACTTTTAAGTGATCTTAAGAAACCATACTCAGAACATACAAAGTAATTACCACAGTTGGCGTATATATTGTAAAAAACTGTATTTATTTACTTTATTATTGGTTACATAACATTTCTATGTTGTTTATGCAGGGTTTTAAAGAATTAAAAAAGTACTAAAGACAATTTGTTTATGTATATAGATACAGAATACAAAATTTAATTTGGATCAGCAAAACAGAAGATCATACATAAAACGTTTTTCTTTATTTTGCCAAAGTTATTAACATAGTATGGTATGGTATTTTTTTACACGCTTTATATTAGCTTCACCTGTATGTATGTATGTATGTATGTATGTAACCGACTCCTTCGGACTCGATTTTGACCCACTTTAAACGGACAGATTTAATTCAAACTTTGTACACTTTTAAAGAATCAGCGACAATATAATAATTTCATAGGTTTATCTCGAAAAAACAATGAAAAATTTTTTTAAGTCCACAAAGCAATACGATTAAATTGAGACAACACGTATTGCTGCTAGGACTAAAAAGTGGAAAATAAATAGTAGTTTAAAAAAACTAAAAAACACGCTTTTAAAGCACATTATAAATTATTTTTCACTTTTTACTTTGATGTGCTTTAGAAGCGTGTTTTTTAGTTTTTTTTAACTACATTTATTTATTTTTAGGTACATATTTTTTTACTTAAAAGGGTTCCTAAAGCTTATACATTATAATGATTTGTTGTCAAATCAATAAACACATTTTTTAATATATATTACGTTTACGATTTGGCAGCGACTACAAAAGTTTAGTTTTTAATGTATCGTATGATATTTTTTATATTCTATATGTTCTATTTTGAATTTTGAACTACGTTCCACAGAATGGAGTGACGGCTTTATTCAACAGCAGTAGCTCTGATCTATCTGGTATACTGATGTACCCGGAAGCGTTGTACGTCTCAAGTGCGATTCAAAAAGCCAAAATAATTGTAAACGAAGCCGGTTCAGAGGCAGCTGCGGCGAACGGTAATTATATATTGTTACTAAACTTCATTTAAATACAACAAAATACTATAGTTACTTTCATAAGCAGTGCCAAATGATTAATTTGAATCATGAAAATAACAACGAAAAATATGTAATAAAAATAAACAAAAAGTAGATAATAAAATTCTTTAGTTCTTCAGTTAGGAAATATTAATTTGGTTATACAATGTTTTTATGGAAGTCAATAGACAAAAATGTATAATTAATGCATTAGATAAATGTTAAAATGTATAGTTTAATTTAGTTGTCATCATTGTGTCACAATGATCTTGTTGCGTAATAAAACCCCTGTGAGGTTTAAATTATAGGAATTTAAACAAAAGCTGGTCGAATTTGAATAACAATAAATAATCCAACGACGTCACAACGCGTTACTCTCAACTATAAAATTTTCTTTTGGATATTCAGCCTTACCTTTTACATTGATATTTAGTTTAAGACATTTTTTTCCAATAAATTTTCCTTTGCAAGCAAAAATTGGTGCCGGAACACAACATCAATGTTGATGTTCGCAAAATTGTTAAATTTATTTTAAAAAAAATACACAAGTAAACCAATACGATAATTTCGAAAAAAATAATAAAATATATAATATAAAATACATAAGATACCCAATACCGCTACTGTGAACTCACTCTGCGAACATATAAAGATGTCGATACTGTCGACAAACTACATTCAGTAAGCGCAACGTTTGATAATGGGGATTTGTGCCAAAGACTGGTTCTGGCCCTTTGAGTCGGAGACAACCTTGACCTTCACCGTCGTAGGCCCAAGGTACAACAGCCCCGAGTTCTTGGATAACACTTAGGTTGCTCACCACCTTTCGTCTTTAAGTAGATATTAGGCCAACTGTAAATCCCGTCTTGTTTCTAATTTATTTTACCCCAACAACCCCGAGATAAATGTTGGGTAAATTAAGGGACAGTAGGGATAGATGCCATACAGTCTGTATTAAAGAAAACGAGTTAACTAATTCTGTATGTACATTGTACAATATTATCATCTACTAACAGTTTGGAAACAATTTCAGCAATCACCGTCGGAACAACAGCCGTAGAAGCTGAACCTGAACAATTCAATGCTAACCATCCATTTCTCTACTACATTATGTATAGAGACACGGCGATATTCGCTGGACATTACGCGGGCGCACAATAAATAAATGCCACAATTTTGGACAATTCAAAACCATTTTTTCGTTTTCGTTCATAATCAGCCCACTTTAGACTGTTATAGACGTTTAATAAACTTGAATATAAAATTTAATTGTTTTGTTTAACTGGTCTCTCAATATAATTGATAGAATTAGATTTTAGAAAAGATTTCCTAACAACAACTTCATGACCCACTGAAGTATTTCTTAACCAATTCGACTTAGGGTCCTTCAAGAAAGGAGCGGCCTTCTTATAGGGCCAGCAACGAACTTGCGAGCCTTTTGGCAATGTGAATGTGGTATCATTTAACATCTTATAAATAAAAATAAAACATGTGACTAACTCACTATTCTTATAATGAATTTTCAATTAAATAGTATTTTGATTTGAAGATTTTTGTAATCGGCCCAGTAGTTTTTGAGTTTATTCGTTACAAACATACGAAAATACAAATCTTTCCTTTATTTTACTGTAGAGATAAATGTCAACACATATACATGCCATTAATAAGCTGTTTGGCTTATTCTTAATACCAAAAACATAATAATAACAAAAAAATAATAAAATAAAGAGATTTAAAAATATGTTTATCAATTTTAGTACACTATATGATGCATTTTATACACAGTTATGGCAATTTTTACTCGACAAACATACAACTCGCTTCGGGTGCAGTATAATAACGCATTTAGGGTGTTGCTGGGGCTGCCTCGCTTCTGCAGTGCATCAAGAATGTTTGCAGAGGCGCGGGTGGATTGCTTTTTCGCCACTATGCGAAAGCGGTGCGCTTCTTTGGTGCGCCGGGTGCGGGGCAGCTCCAGCAACATCTTACGGATGATAGTCGAAAGAATGGAGTGCCCCTATTTACGACACTGCTCCGACATCTCCGCAGGGCTTTGTACCTGATAGTTTTTATTAAACTACTTTTTCCTTATTTTTACTAATTCTCTAACATAGATCTTAAGAAACTATTGTTACTAACTCACTAATCAATCAATGGACTGTATTTGTCTGATTAATAAAAATTATTATTATTATTATTATTAATTCAAACTTTTAACTTAGCGTCATTAAATACATGATTTTTTTTCAGCGGCTGTGCTTAATACGAAAGCTGCGATTGTTGAAGATAACCTTGAAACCTTCAACGCCGATCGCCCTTTCCTTTATTTTGTTTTATTTGAAAATGCACCCGTATTTGCTGGATTGTATGCAGGACAACAGTAAATAAATGTTTCCGATTTTTTTTATTGTTGTTAATATAAAAAATACCAGTTACCCATTTTAAGGTCTTCTTTCTCGGATATACGTTGGACAATATATATGCTCAGTAAAATGTCTAAAATATATAACACTAGTAGACTCGGCCAAGCGTTGCTGTGGCTAAGATTTTTGTTATATTACATAGTAGTAAACTATTCAAGAGAATCGGCAGGAGAACACCAATCCACCATGCTTTTTTGGTGGTTATGCCATTAAATTGTAGCTTATGTGAAACGTTGGTATTTATTTTGATAAGGATCAATACCTAGAGTACGAATAAAGAGCCTTTTCTAGGTGTGGTATTTTAATAAAATAAAAGGACGGTTATTGTGACGTAACTATAAAAGATAGAGACGTGCTGTCGTGACATTTTTTATAGATAATGATGTGTCCTAAAAATTTTTAATACATAATTTTGTTAGAACAAAAGATAGATAGATATAATAGATAGATAGATATGATAGATCATTAATAGATTTCCCGGCGCACGCGATTGAAGGAAGTTTTTTGTTTATTTTTTTACACCTTGGGTTAGATTATTCAAGTTTTAGTAAGCATCCCTATTTTTTTTTTAAATGAAACATAGCCTATGTCACTCGAGAATAGTGTATCTTGCCAACGGTGAAAGAATTTTTGAAATCGGTCCAGTAGTTTCGGAGCCTATTCATTTCAAACAAACAAAAAATCAAACCTTAATATTAGTATTGACACATAAAAACAGTATATGACAATTTAGTGATAAATCGTCTTTGTTTAGTGAACATAATTTAATTGAGGCATCTACTTAGAAAGTGTATATCACACACACGTAAATTACTTGTCCTCTACTCTATATGAGAGTGTATGTGTTCATATTCGTATAAAATACTTATGTTCTTCGATCAGATGTTCGACAATTTGATCCACAGAACTCCAATATCACTGTTGGTCGCAAAACGCGGACTGCAGACAGTTCCTTGTGCAGAGGCTGTTTCAGCCTAGAAGAATCAGTCACCCACGTAGTCCTGGAATTCGTGGTTGTGGCTTCCCAACGAGCCGAAATCTTTGGAGCAGTTAGGTCGCTCCGTGAAACCTGCGTGTACGAAGAAGCTTGTCTGGGTTCATTAGCCAGAACTTAACAACGGAACCAAATGTGCGTCTAAGTGCGGAATCTGAGAACACTACTATACAAACGTCACACTGGAGATTTGAACCCAAGACCGTATGATTTGCAGTCAAACTTGATAATTATATCAATAAGGGAGTTCATATATCAAATCTATATAAGGACAATAGATTAGTGTTATTCAAAAGTCAATAGTCAAAAAACATTCATTCATATAGGTACACTTATGGACGTCAATAAAGAAATTTACATTAAATGCTTCTAATTTTACATTTACTGCCAGTTCTCAAATCAAGGGCGTAGAAGGGAAGAGAAGAACTGGCAATAAACTCTCCGCCACTCTTTATACTCCCCAAGTTTTTTGTTTTCAACAACGCTGCAACCATTACACCATGTCCCACATGACATCTTAATAAATAAATTATTAAAATAAATTAAAAACAAAGATTTGACCTCTATCAGCAGGAAGCATGGTGAAATAGGAGCACGCACTTACATTCTCGTGGGAACAACACGCAAATACATAGTCGAAATAACTAACATCACCGTATACACGAATTCAAGTACGACCAGTCACCACAAGTAGCACCCGTTCACGAGTATGACGCATGGCCAGCCATCAGCCATGCGTTACCTAACTTAATTACTTGATAAGACTATGATTGATTTTAGTTTTAATTTTGATAATTTAACTAGATAAAAATTTTAGATAACTTTAACCCATTTCGAGTCCGCTAGGTCGCGTACTAATGATTTAATTAAGTAGTGCTGCCCAAAATCTTGTGTAAGGAGCTCCAAGGCTGTGGTCCTGAGGGAATGTTATCCGCTACGGTGGAATTTGTAATTAAGAAACTGCGTCTTAGAACAAAATCTGTTTACGACCACACTTAATTCACTTTAACATTTACATTAGGGTTGGAAATAATTGTGTGGCACGTACGTGTAATTATGCTTAGTTTTACTTTCCGTAGGATATGAACTTTTCATAGAATTCTTGTTAATGGCACTATGTATATTTGATTCAAGTTGGACGAGGCAAAGACTCACTTAACCAGATGGCGCTAAAACCTTTCAGGTCTGGCCTCAGATTTTTGTATCTGTATCATGATCATTTGTCAATCTAATTCTAGGCTAAGGCTATTAATTGATCAACCTTCTGTGACTGACACACACCGTTGACTTTTTTGCCGTTTCTTGTTCGATTCTAGCTAATAAATTCTTCGATATAAGCACATAAGATACATTTAGGCACGATAGGCACATTTGATACAATATAGAAGAATTGATCAAAGTACTTTCTTAGATATTTAAATAACTATTATAGATTTAAAGAAAAAAACTTTTAAACCGGATTAAAGTTATGTATTATTATAAATTTACAATTATTTAACATAATTTTAAATTTATCCGACGTTTCGCGTGCTTTACGCGTTGGTATCGACTAAAGTACATATAGTAGTCGATACCAACTCCGGGGAAATAAATACAGATAATGCAACTTTCTCTACAGCTGTGATACTTTTTGACATTCAACACCTTTTGTCTTCAGTCACCGTGACCACGCACGCTCTAAAGCACGCGAAACGTCGGATAAATTTAAAATTATGTTAAATAATTGTAAATTTATAATAATACATAACTTTAATCCGGTTAAAGTTTTTTTTTTAAATGTGTAAAGGTTATTTTAATCAAAGACAATACTATGAACTATTATAGAATCAAGAACATTATAACAAAATGCTACAATACATACTTTATTGTGAAATCTATTTGTTAGACCCTAAGATATTACGGATATTTTTATCTGAACCGAACTATCCACTTTGCGACCGAAATAGAAATGTGAGAGATTAATCTGAAAGGCATTTTATCAGACCAGAACCTCAGGATGAAACATTTTCTCATTTGTTATTATTGTAAACTTTATTTAGTGAACTATTTATTTATTTTATAAAGGCACACTAACAAAACACACAAACACATGCAGAGAACACACGACATATAAAAACACAATACATGCATGTGCATTAATGACAAGTGAGCACAACATTTAGAGGGAAACATTACAATGATAAAAGATAAAACAACTTATACATTAAAAATAAAAGCCAAACTAGATTATAATAATAATAATAAAGCCAAGTTTTAATTCCAATGATGACAAAAACGAAATATGATATACAGCTTAGATTATTTTAATTTCTTTTAATTTTGCTTGTTAAGGAGCAAGTAAGGAGCAAGTGTATATCCTAGCTACCTTCAGTACCATCGATCGGAACCCCTTCACGGGTAAAGGCCTCCTCCAGCTTTATCCAACTGACTCTGTCTATGGCTCTCATTCTATTTCTTCTATCCACCTTTTTTTGGGTGACCTCTTCTTCTTCCTCTAGACAAACTAGGTTAAGAAAGATAAATTAATATACATATTTCTACTGTGTGACGTATCAACAGTCGCTGCATCTGACGCCTGAAGACATGGAGACTGTAATTAAATGGATCTGCTTCGCATGAGAGCGATGTCGGCACTCACTGCCCGAATGTAAAAAATGAATGTGTTTCTTGTGTTTCTCTAAGAAGTTCACTTGAGTTAAAAAATTTGGTAAATCTACCTTTATGTTTAGAAATTTGTTAACTGT